ACTATATCAAGATATGATAGACATTATCCAGGGATAATTTCGATCTCTCGCGCACAACTATTATTGAATAGACTTTGCCATAATTTATTAACGATCGTACATTATTGGTCGCACAGGGTTTGGAAAGAGTTTATTCGGCAACATCGCAAGGATTGCAAGGCACCACTTAATGTAGTTGAAATACCAGTAAGTTGTACTATATACACTTCCCCACGTGTTTAATTACTATATCGTACTTCAATTTACGTGTGAGATGATAAGAATAATCTTCTTCTCGTACAGTGGTGTTTGCGGCAGCCACCAGGTAATAACTTGTGTGGATACTACGTTTGTGAATTTATCACTGCGCACATAAGAAGAACTCCTAAAGATGTCCTCAGAGTACATATATATCAATTTTTTATTTATTTTTAAATGAATATATATATATATATTAATACTTTTCCTTTTATTTCAAATGCAAGACTGAATGGTTGAAACGAAGAGTCATGCAAAAAGATCATCTGAAAGCAGTTCAAGAGTCAATAGTAGGATTTCTTCTAGAAAAAGTGCTAAATCCCAACGGCGAGTTGTACTTTGATCCTAAGGAATAAATGATATAAATTAAATGTTTATTGATATCGTTATTTTCGAGAACAAGATTATGAAAGTGTTGTATATATATATATATATATATATATCTATAATATATATAGGTTCATACTTTATTCGAATATAATAATGCTCGAGATGAGAATTAGATGTAATTATATGCGTGCGTGTATTTATATTAGCAGCGTAGAATACGTACATAAAAACATATTATATATTAAACAAATACGTGTAACTGAACTGAAAACAAATTAAACAAAAAAAAGAAAAAGAAAAGGAACCTTTAGTCCCGATTGGGGTTACCAACCGGGACTAAAGGGTGCGGCCACGTTTGCTCGGCTGGAGGGCCTTTAGTCCCGGTTGGTAACACCAACCGGGACTAAAGGTCCCTCTTTAACCCCGGCTCGATGACCTGGGACTAAAGGTGGCACCTTTAGTCCCGGGATTGTTGTCCCGGTGCGGTAACCGGGACTAAAGGCCGTTACCGCCCGGGACAACAAGTCCATTCTGTAGTAGTGTGTGGCGCCGCCGCTGGCCCCGGTCCCACGCGGCTCTCGTGGAAGGGAAACCCGCGCCGGAGGCAGGCTGCGCGGTCGGTGACGGCAAGGGCGCCGCCGGCGACGGAGGGACGGACGTCATCATCGTTGGCGCCGGGGTGGCTAGATCTGCGCTGGCATATACGCTCGGAAAGGTGGCTCCTTTGGCTCATATAATTCTCGTTCCTTCGTGGCATATGCTTCCACTTAGAGCTGCCCAAATGGGCCAGCATTACGCAAACTACTCTTGATCCGGTCCAAGCACCGCACGGCAAGGCAAGGTCACGAAGCTAGATGGCCCGGCCCGGCAGGATCAAGTAGGTCATGCTTGGCACACCATCGGGCACGCCGACCCGGTCCATTTACTGTAGAGCACGTGATCACTGGTTGCATCATCCTACAACAACCATATTGATTTCTATCGAGTTTTTGAATTCCATGTCTCTGTCTCTATCTCTATAATACACCACATCAAATTATCCTATATCCACCAAATAAGTACCACCTCTGTAATCATAAACTAAACTATGTCCACCTACAAAATGCACATAGAAATAGACCACACTAGAAACATGCGCATCAGATTAACTCAAACATATTCCCTCTTGTTACTCAACCACATCCGACGCTCCTCCTTTGTCATCTCCAGTGCCCCCGAACGATCGCCCACCCCATGTGCGACTCCCTCAGCCTCCCATGCCCGCGCCCGTCGCGGTTTGATTCCTGGCGGTGGCCTATCAATTAAAAAAAAGAAAACTGCCTCCCGAATAGGCCCCGTCCGTCTAGAACGCCGCAGCCGCCGCCCTTGCCCCCGTCGTGGTGCCTCCTCCCTCTGCCCCCACTGCTTCCAGCCGCCTAGCGCCGCCCCCGACCACGGCGAGGTCGCGCTGAGAGCACCGTCCTCAACCCCCGCCTCGAGGTCGCAACCGCCCAGCGACGTGGCTGGCCCCTGGCGGCCGGAGTCACAGTCGCGGCCGTGGCTGGCCTTGCGGCCCCCTGCCCGGCTCCGTGGTTGGTGGCTCGGCCCCCTGGCTTTGGTCACCTGCTGCCGGCTGCGCCGGGCCATCAACGCCTTACCACCTTGGTTGGTCGAGCTCTGGCGACGCCCCTGGCCATCGCGCCAGCTCACCCTTCCTCACCCTTGTCGTTGATGAGCATCACCAGGGTGAGCTCACCTTCCTATTCCCTTCCTGCTACGGTGCGAATCTGAGCACTCGAACCCTAACTAGCTATTTGGTTATTTGTGTTCACATCTGATCCATTTACAAGTGTATATCCTTGTGCTATGCCTACTATGGTGAGTTGCTTTCCCCTTCGTAATGGATGTCAGTTCATGGATCGATGGAGGGTGTTTCTATTGTTTGGAAATCATGGATGTCAGTTCATGGATATATGAATGGATGTCAGTTTAGTTTGGAAATCATGGTCTTAAATTAGCATTGTATCTAGAATTGGATTGTACCGGAATAAAATTCTTGTGGTATGAATGTTGTGTCTGCTACTGATGTTCTCTTTTTTCCTGCGGTGCATATTTGTTGATCTATTTGCCTTTTTTTTCTTCTGGATGGAGCAAGGGTACAATATGAATTTTTGAAGAAAGAAATATGCCTCTTTGATTTCTTAGATAGGAGGTGATACATGTGCATGACTACTAAATAGTAACCTGCTAGGAAGTAACTATGGTAATAGCAAAGAAAAACTCTATAATGTGGATTCTAGAATTCAAGATGTCTATATGATAGATTGTTAATTTTTTTTACCATGCATACCTTTGATATAGTCAATCATAAATGTGAATATTGTTGCCCTCTTTCATGGATAGATATGATCTTTGCTAATTATTATGATTTAGTATGAGATGGGCATATGTTTTGTCATTTTCCTTCTTCCTGCTTCTAGGTGTTGGGCAATAATAGCAATTGATTGGGCAATTAATGAGTCTTCCTGCATGTCAAGCTTCCAGTTTTATGTCATGTAAAAAACCGTTTGTGTCCATGAACATCAATTGAACTGAACTCGATCTTATGGTTGGGTATCATGTAGATGGTAATTTATTGCATAGTCAAACTGGTTTATGCTCTTTCTTTAAAAAAAAATAAGTCTAATAGTTCTGGTTGTCTGAAATCTCGCTCTCCCAGCAGGAGGTCAGTCGGCGTGAGGTTTTTGATCACAAGATCCAGCAGGTCGTGGATTGGTAAGTTTTTGCTACCTGTTCTCTTCTGTTTGCACAAATGGATAATTCAAGGGCTGGTTTGTAGTGCTTGCATATTTCAGCTCATGTTAAAAGGAATGATAAGAAGGGCGGGCCTGGTGCAAGCGGTAGAGTCTTACCGCCTGTGACCGGAAGGTCCCGGGTTCGAGTCACGGTCTCCTCGCCTTGCACAGGCGAGGGTAAGGCTTGCCACTAACACCCTTCCCCAGACCCTGCACAGAGCGGGAGCTCTCTGCACTGGGTATGCCCTTTTTAAAAAAAAAGGAATGATAACTCAGAAATACTACCAATTTTCGTAGAGTGAAATGTTAAAATTGTTGGTCTTCCCTTTGTTACATTGATATAGCCTTGTGTATGCTGCCAAATGTATTTATTTATCCTGAATTTCTAATGTCAAGGCTATCTAGTGATCTGCTAGAAATACTACCCCTTTGTCAGGTGGTTGCATGTGTTGTGAGCCTCATAATCATTGACTCTGGTCACTAAATTTTGACGACTTGTGTGAATTCCATGGTTTGCAGATAAGTGAGATGAAGCTCCTTGTTGATAGCCTAGAGAAGGAGAGAGATTACTACTTCTCCAAGATGTTGTGTACCAAGAGTCATCTGGTTATATTTAATAAATTCTTATAAGCTTGTATTGTTCTGTAAAACTGGTTCAATCATATAACTGATGCAATGAATTATTATTTATTTGCTGATGCAGTATGCAAAGCTCATGCCTTTGGCTTTGATCCACATGCTTGGATATATGTTGTGCACACTGCACCCCATATATGTTGTGACTGCCATGAATGACTGTCATGGCATTCTTGTTATCTGCTCCACTGATCCTATCTGTAGATGGCATCAAGTTTAGCCCATCATATCTACAGAGTGTTGCAAGTGTAGCCAGCTTGGAAACACATGAAATATTACAATATTTTAACTCTTCACTGATTTGAAATTGCTGAATACTAAATTTACTACGTTTGCAGGGAGCTAATATCAAAAAATTATGTGTAAGAGTGGCACTTGCTAGCACATGTTGCAGTTTTTACCAGCAGGTGAGACCAGTCTTCACTAGAAAACATTTTTGTGGTCTCTCGGCGGTTGCTAAAATTGTCTGTTGCTTGCTACCGCGGTTGGCTACTTAGATCCAAATAAACTACTTACTATTGTTTAGCCGATAATATATCTGTGTGGTCCATTTTTGTCCATTGTTTTACTTCTACGATCAGGCTCTTCCAGTTAAATATGATATTATCTTCAGTTGTCAGTTATGTTGAATAATTTTTTAGTTCTCTTGTGTCATCCGATGAAAAAAATGTTGAATAATTTACAGTTTATACTTTTGAGCCTAAAAAGTATCAGGTTTTCCGCATAAGCGTCTATTGATTTTTTTATTATCTCTTATCTAACTGTTATTATGAGTTCTGCTGCACTCTGAATCACCTATAAACAAAGTCTTTATTTGTTTCTTGGCAGGTTTCATACAGTTTATTGGCTAGAGTATCCTGTGACCCATTCGTTTGCTAATTCTCTTAAACGTGTGGTGGTCATTATGTCATCCATTCTCTTCTTCAGAACTCCAATTTCACCTATAAATGCCTTAGGCACAGAACTGATGCTATCCTTCATCCAAGCACCAATTACTGGCCATCTAATTTATCTATGTCTGAGATGGCGGTGGCGGGAGGTTGGGGCAGCGTCGGGGAGATGTTTATTACTAAGATTCTTACATTTGATATGTGTCAGGTGATCACTCAGGTGTCAAAGGTGGTCTGCAATTTCAATCAGTACTGTCAAAATGGGTGTTGTGCTGCAGTTTCAAATATTATATATAGCCAAATTAGTGTTGAAATTGAAACTCCCTGTGTTTTTTATTGAATCTTATATATTTCATTTTATTCTCGAGTATGGACAACATAGTCTTTTGCTTGTTTTGATGTGTATGGACCAAGTGTCACCGTAGCGTTAGCACGGGCAATATACTAGTGAACAGCAAATGTCTCGACGACCAAAAGTTGAGAATTTTTTCTATCAAAAAAAAAGTTGAGAATTTTATAGACCCAGGTGAGTTATCCGAGCAGGGCTCAGAACTTCCTTTCATGACGTAGTGATAGTGACCCAAGAACAACTTCGGACCTGCTTTTGCATGCTTTGAGTTAGTTTACAAAGACATCCGTTTTTTTCCCAGTCTGACGAGATTAGATGTCAGTTAGCTTTCTGTGCAAAGGTTCTAGGTTCTGGCAACGGTTAGCTGTGATTTTGTTGCAACTTACGATGGTGAATTTTGCATGTTTACCGTGTCTGTGGAAAGTGAGACTTCTTTTGGTGTCACTGTTTCTTTTGTGGACATGGAATTTATGTGGCTTATGGCAGTTAGCTGCTGACAAATTTCGTTGTCGTGCAACTGTGAATGAAAATTTTTCCTTCTCCAACTAAAGAATTCTTACAGTAATTCATCACCTTGTTACAGTGAATTAGTCACTTTTGGTATTTCTTGGCCAAAACTTTTTTGGATGCAGAATGAGAAGGGGGGGGGTGGAGAAAGCAACAGCTGAGAGAAGACTATATGTATAAGCAGAAACTGCAACAAGAACAAGATCAGCATTTCACTGCTTCTGTGTTGCGATAACTGACGTTGTGCTTGTCAACAAGAACAAGATCAATATTTCACTGCTTGTGTGTTGCAGTAATTGACCATGCAATACAAGTCAAGTAACCAAGCACAATCTTACAAAATGCAGTTTGTTTACGGAGGGCAGCCAAACACCAGCTTATAGCATATTGAATACGTTTGTGCTGGCTTGAGCTAGCCTGCATTAGGTCCAATGCAGGCTTACGGTAGTTCAGGCACCAATTACACCCATTGTATTAATATTGTTTTATCTCTCCTTCTAATTGTTTTAACAAGCAACTCACTAGAATGTTCTATAGTTTTTGTTTCTTAATCTACTTTGTTTGTTGGAATGTAGGATGGTCGTCGGGTGCATGTCATTGAGAGAGATCTGACAGAACCTGACAGAATTGTTGGTGAACTGTTGCAACCTGGGGGTTACCTAAAATTAATTGAGCTGGGCCTCGAAGGTAAAGCCCATTTTGTTTACCTAATTATATTTTTGTGCCATTTCTAAAGTTATTATTACCAAACCAAGTTTTTGTTAAATTCAGATTATGTGAAAGAAATTGATGCCCAATGCGTCCTTAGTTACGCATTATTCAAAGATGTAAGGAACACAAAGCTTGCTTATCTCTTGGAGAAGCTCCATTCTGATGTTGCTGGTAGGAGCTTTCACAATGGGAGGTTTATACAGAGGATGCGTCAAAAAGCCGCGTCTTTGCCCAAGTAATAGAAATTATTATTATGGTTTTTCTAACTTTGCCATATTCTTGCTCATTTGTTGTCCTTTATTCTTCTGTTTGACTGTTTCAGTCTTTTTCCAAGATTAACTGTAGAATGGTATTGTATGTGACTTTACTGTATCGACAACTTAATCGGTAGTTCTCTTCGTTTGGTGTGTTCTAGTTCTCATGTTATTTGGCCTTTTCTGTTCTCAATTCTAGATGTCTAAACTTTTCACGTATCGAACTATTTATGCAACTGCATGTGACATAATATTTGACATGCTGTTGTGTTCATCCAATGTCCAATTAGAGCAAGGAGCTGTTACATCACTTCTTGAGGAAAATGGTACTGTTAAGGTGTTCAATACAAAACCAAGTCAGGTGAAGAACTAAAGGCTTATGCACCCTTGACGATTGTATGTGATGGCTGCTTTTCAAATCTGCGACGTGCCCTTTGCTCTCCAAAGGTACACCCTTTACACTATACATGTTGCTGAATTTTGTGGCTCGTGGATGTTAATTTCTGTTCTTAGGTTGATGTTCCATCATGTTTTGTTGGGCTGGTATTGGAGAATTGCCAACTTCCACATCCAAACCATGGCCATGTTATCTTGGCCAATCCTTCTCCAATCCTATTTTACCCAATTAGCAGCACAGAGGTGCGCTGTTTGGTTGATGTCCCTGGTCAGAAGGTGCCTTCCATAGCTAGTGGTGAAATGGCAAATTATCTCAAAACTGTTGTTGCACCCCAGGTAATTCTTCCTTTTAAAAATATCATTTGATCTTGTTCTTGATGCAGTTTCTGCTGACTACTTTTTGCAATATGATGTCATAATGGATACTTTTATTTTGTCAGATTCCTCCAGAAATCTACGACTCTTTCATAGCTGCCATTGATAAGGGAAGCATAAGAACAATGCCAAATAGGAGCATGCCAGCGGCTCCAGACCCAACCCCTGGTGCACTTTTGATGGGGGATGCATTCAATATGAGACACCCTTTGACTGGTGGAGGAATGACTGTTGCATTATCTGACATCGTTGTCCTACGTAATCTCCTCAAGCCTCTCCGCAATCTTCATGACGCATCTTCCCTGTGCATGTACCTTGAATCGTTCTATACATTGTGGAAGGTCAGTCTTTGTATAACCATCAATTGCATGGCTTGGCTTCCCCACAAATGTGATGATCTGTTTCTTTAACACTGTCATATTTTCAGCCAGTTGCTTCCACAATAAACACATTGGCCGGTGCTCTGTACAAGGTCTTTAGTGCCTCACCTGATCAAGCTAGGAATGAGATGCGCCAAGCTTGCTTCGATTGCTTGAGCCTTGGAGGCGTCTTCTCAAATGGGCCTATTGCTCTACTCTCAGGTCTTAATCCTCGGCCACTGAGTTTAGTTGCACTCTTTGCTGTTGCTATCTATGGTGTTGGCCGCCTGATGCTCCCGCTCCCTTCACCTAAACGAATGTGGATTGGAGCCAGACTGATTTCTGTAAGTCCCTGAATCTTGTGTTTCTTCGTCATCTCCACGCTATTCTTTGCTTATGCCAGAGTGACAGGCAGTGACAGCCTTACTGATTAGCTTTACCCTCAAAAAAAAATGTTTAGCTTTACAGTCTTACAGATGTACTTTTGTATTACAATGTCCAGGAAATGACAAAGAGAGAACTAACCGCAGAACAATTTGAAAATGGCAATGGTTTCAGGTTTGTTTATACTCTGGCCAGCTTTTTTAGATATGCCGCATATACCCTTTTTTTACTTAGGTTGCAGTTCTAGCTAGCACGTGTTTCACTTATCTTGTTTAGTAGTATTATGCACATGCACATTCCGTGAAAAATGCACTTATATCCACACAAAGCCGTCTCATGGTCTATTTACTACTAGGCATAGCCGCATAGGCCATATATATAGATGGAACTACTCTTGCTACCTTATCTAACTGAAAATTTGTCACTACAGGGTGCATGTGGCATCATCCTCCCTATCATCAAAGCTGAAGGCGTGAGACAAATGTTCTTCCCTGCTGCTGTACCCGCATACTACCGGGCGCCACCAGCATGAACAAAGAACTGCTGCTGATGATCCGACCATGATCTGATGGCCACTGATGTTTCACGGATGGAATTTTTCCTGTGTTCGTGGTCGTTAGTGGTCGTTAGCTGGTTAGTTGTTCGTGCTGAGACCAACCTGTATAGTTTGTGGCCCTGGCCCCTGGGTACACTGAAATGTGTTGGGTTTGTGCTGTACGCATGTCAGATTCCTGCCAAGTTGTATAGGATTCTGTTGAACAAGTGAATGTGTCGCATTCTTTCACCAATGAAGCTGGTAGACTAGTAGTGAAACAGTGTTAAACAGGGACTAAGTCTTTCCCACCTTGAGTTGTTGGATTTAATTAGAAATGGCCACTCGTCTTTTTCCCTTGATGGGCCGGCGTTCAGCCCATGACTCATGATGTTAAAAAACATTTCAGCTTAGGTTATTCATCTTCACCACAATTGCTTTCTACTTATGTGATTTGCACCGGGGTTATGCTTTAGCTTTCGTTTAGATCGAGCGTAGGGTTTGTTTGGAGAGGCTTGCCCCATGAAACATCTTGTTTCACGAGGGACCGTCTCTACCTTTTTACTACTTTCTCCATCCCTGAATAAATCAATTCTTAGAGTTGTCTTAAGTCAATTATTTTCAAATTTGATCAAATTCATAGAAAAATACAACAATATTTATGACATCTAATGAATAAATTATGGAAATAATGAAATATATTTCATAGTATATCTAATGATATTGATTTGGTGCCATAAATCTTGGTGCTTTTTCCTATAAATTTGATTTAGTTCAAAAAATTGACTTAAGACAACTATAGGAATAACTTTTGTTTAGACTGAGCATAGGATTCGTTGGGAGAGGCTTGCCCCACGAAACATCCGGTTTCACAAGGTACTGGCTCTACCTTTTTATTACTTTCTCTATATCTGAATAAATCAATTCCTAGAGATCAATTCCTAGAGTTGTCTTAAGTCAAAATTTTCAAGATTGATCAAATGTATAGAAAAATACAACAATATTTATGACATCTAATGAATAAATTATGAAAATATATTTCATAGTGTGTCTAATGATAGTGAATTGGTGCGATAAATCTTGGTGCTCTTTCCTTTAAATTTGATTCGATTTTAAAAAATGATTTAAGATAACGTTAAGATTGAGCAGCATCTGTGATTAACACATGCATTAGCTTATGAGAACTGCGATAAGAATTTTAAATATGTTTGATGTTTGTTTGATATTTAAGTGTTGTCTGTTTAGGCCTTCATTTCCGGATTATATACATGGTGATATATAATTGTGTCAAACTTAAATATGGAAAAAGTCATGTTTGGTTGTTGTCATGTGTATTCCTAAAATGAAACCATAGCATTAGCACAGGCACTGTAATAGTTGTAGGAATGCAAAAGCTATGACTATGAGGAGGCCATGGAAGACCATTTTGTGTGGGTTGCGCCAGTGATGGAGCTGCTGCTCGGCCTCATGGGCCTTAGTGGCATACTATTTTTGGGCCCCAAAATTTCCATCCATCATAGTAGGCCTTCTTGTCAGAGAACGGGATTGAGTGCAAAATGCATCAAAGGTACGGACCAGGTTGCATTAACCTCCTTGCGCTCTTATAATCCAACCAATGCGAGTAATGCTCTAGTGGGAAACGAGTATGACCACTTTGTACAATGTTTTTATAGTACTCGGTGATCGTAGCGATAGGAATGGATCACCATGTTATTTAGCGAGATAATATATATAACACTACGTATGAGTTATAAAAAGAATTATATATGACAACCTGTACTAGGTCTTGGACGTGCCCGTGCCAGGTATGCAATGCCCGTGATGCCTCCGTCCGCTAGTCCAAAGATTCGTGCCGGGGTTAGCGGTCACTCGCGGTGTCTCGGTCAGTGTCAAGTTGCCGGGTCGTCTCGCGCACGTGTGACTATGCTATGCTACGCTATGGCAGACACACACGGGCGAGTTGTGTTGCGTGTTTTTGCTAGCATGGCCTCCTTCATCTGTTGGCTCACGTTTGATCGGTCATCACACAGCAGCTTTGGATCACAGTAACGGCAGCGCCAGCGTGACCATCACCGAACGGCCTGCTGCGGTAGGGTTGGCCAAATCTCAGGATCAATCAAACGCCTAATGATGATTACTATTACGAGACAGGCATGCCCCAACTCCACACTGACGCTGCGTGTACATGTAAGTACGTGTCACTATGGGAAACACATGATTTGTCGAGTGTAAAAATTTTGCCGAGTGCTAAATTTCGGGCACTCGGCAAAGCCCGTACTCGGCAAAATATGACACTCGGCAAAGAGGCCTTTGTCGAGACCTGCACTCGGCAAAAGCAGACACTCGGCAAAGATTGGTAGGGGCCTAACGGCATCCAACGGCGTCTTCTTTGCGAGTGCCCCCCGTTTGGCACTCGGCAAAGAATTTATTTTGCCGAGTGCCAAAACTTAGCACTCGGCAAAATTTTTTTCTTTTTTGGTTTTTTGCCACCAATTTTTTTTAAGCTTTAGTACACTACCACAAACAACATGTTTAAATTTGGGACATTTTCATTGCCTTTTGGCATATTTCTATAGTTTATTTTGTTTTGTTGATTTTTTTCAGAAAATGTAAGTTTGAACTGCAGGTGCATCGAATAATGGATTACATTCGTTCAAAAAATGTTATCCTTGTTTCTTAGTGTAAATTTAGGCTAAATACGGGATCTATCTTAAAATTTCGATCAACGTGCTCACGGGGCAACGCCGCCAACTTGTGTGGGAGTGGTTTTTTAATTGTATAAAATGCGAACGAATTCCGAAAATCATGAGACTTGTCGAGTTGTCGCCGTATTGTATGCGTATACATGTGGAGATGTCTTGGTTTGTGAGCATCGTACGTGACAACGTGCTCGAAACTTTTTCAAATTTTTTCCACGGCATACGCATACGATACGGCGATAACTCGACAAGTTTCATGATTTTTGGAATTCGTTCGCATTTTATACAATTAAAAAGCCACTCCCACGCAAGTTGGTGGCGTTGCCCCGTGAGCACGTTGATCGAAATTTCGAGACAGATCCTGGATTTAGCCTAAATTTACACTAAGAAACAAGGATAACATTTTTTGAACGAATGTAATCCATTATTCGATGCACCTGCAGTTCAAACTTACATTTTCTGGAAAAATTCAACAAAACAAAATAAACTATAGAAATATGCCAAAAGGCAATGAAAATATCCCAAATTTAAACATGTTGTTTGTGGTAGTGTACTAAAGCTTCAAAAAAAATTGGTGGCAAAAAACCCAAAAAAAATATTTTGCCAAGTGCCTAGGGTTGGGCACTCGGCAAAGAGCTGCTGGATTTTTTTTAAAACTTCGCCGAGTGCCAGATCACGACACTCGGCGAAGAAAATTGACTTTGCCGAGTGCCACCGATCTGGCACTCGGCAAAGCCGCCTTACCCCTTCACCCGCGCCCGGCCGGCGCGCTCTCTCTCTCTTTCTCTCATTTCTCTCTCCCTCTCTCTCTCTCTCTCTCTCACCTCTCTCTCGCCTCCCGCCTCGCCCTGGGCCCCAGCCTCCCCCTGCCACCGCGCCTCCCCGCCTGCCACCAGAGAGGAGGAGGAGGAGCCAGGGAGAGAGAGAGAGGAGGAGAAGGGAGAAGAGAGAGGAGGAGAGAGAGAGGAGGAGAAGGAGAAGGAGAGGAGAAGGAAGGTGTCGGCCTAGGCCCGTCGACCCTCACGCCCATTGGCGTCGTCCCCCCCTCATTGTCACCGACCCTCGTTGTTGCCATTCTCGTCGCGAAGGTATGCCCTACACCTGTAGTAGTTAGTAGTAGTACTTAGTAGTGTTAGTAGTAGTTAGTAAGTAGTAGTAGTTAGTAGTGTTAGTAGTATTGTTAGTAGTAAGTAGTGATAGTAGTAGTGTTAGTGTTAGTAGTTGTTGTAGTGGTAGTAGTACTTGTTCTTGTACTACTTCGATACTTTCATCTGCATGGAAAGAGAACTAAAGTACATGGCTTGTCTTGGTATATATATGTTTGTTGGCCTTCGTGCCTATGCTTGGTATATATGTGGTTGTTGGCCATCGCACCGATGTTTCTTGCAGGTTTTGGAAACATCCCCGTGTAGGGGAGGTGCTACCGAATTTTTCAATGGATTCTAACCTATTGCCTTTTTATGTAGGAGAAGGACCCATGGGAGGGACTTGGCGACCCCGATCGTCTTCGTCGGCGCTGCTGGTCTGCCTGCATCGCATCGCCTCGCCACTGCACCGACACGCCACTGCCCCGTTAGCCTGACTCCACCGCCACCCTAGGTATAACCCCCTCTTCCTTTGCATGCATGTTTTATATGGTCACGTAGCCCAGTTAGGCGTCTCCCGTTCGAAAGAGATACGGTTGGAGGTATGCAGATCTTTGCATATCTACGACCGTATCTCTTGGATTGTCCACGTATTTTGGATAGCCCGCGGATGCGTAGATGAGGTTAGTTTCCATGGTTCGCTCTGGTCCAAGACAGACTTTCGGCATCACCTCCCTATTGTTCTCCGAATACACACTCTCCCTTGGAGGACGTGTATCGGGAGAACAGCGGGGAGGTGCTGCCGAAATTCTATCTCGGATAGGAGTGGAGCATTGAAACTTACCTCATCTACGCATCCGCGGGTGGGATTAGGACCTATCCTCACCTATTAGATGGTAGGAACGCCGTGCAGATGCAATTGCTGGTTCTATTACTTGCTTACATATGTATATGTCAGAGGATGGAGAACCGTGATTGGATGTACACGGGCCACGCAAGTATGACCCCAGAATGGATGACTAAGACTAATGCTTTCTTGGAGCATTCATTTGGCGAGGCTGCTAGAGGGTCGAGTCAGATGTCGTGTCCCTACAGCAAATGTGGCAACCGTGTAAGAAAGAATAGGAAGAATGTGGGGGAAGATCTTTGCAAGTATGGATTCACGCCAAACTATACCTGCTGGATCCACCATGGTGAAGCCGATCGTATTAGAGAG